TCGCACGTCTGGGTGAGAAAGTGTCTGTGTCCTCTAGCAGTGAATTAAGTTCGAGTTGATGGCCAGGTGTTGTTTCCGAGCACGAGAAGCTTAGAGAACTGATTGAAGAAATTGTTGGAAGAGGACTAGATACGACTCCACTGAGAGTACCATCGACAATTAATCAGAAATGCCGAAAGTCGCAGCTGAAACGAGAGCAAGGTGAGCAATAGAAACCGGTATCTGCCGAAATGTGTGTAAGGAATTGATTACTGCCTATGAAACAGAATCAAGCAGATCAACTGTTTCAGCTGACTACTCCTGATCCGTGTGTGATGACTCGTGGCTTACCATGCGTCAAGCGTTTGAGAAGGCGTTTTCCAACTGCGATAAACGCCAGCTTCTGACGCTAATACCTGCCAGCCTTACAGTCACTGAAGCAAACAGATTAATTTCAGAAGCCTCAAAGTACCTACTGCGAAAGTAAAAAAAGCTGCAGACGACGTCTGGTGCACAGACATTGCCAGATATTTACAGCGAGCAGATTAGTGCCGGGGTACGGGACGTAGGCCAGGAGCAGCTGAATTCAAATCTAACGACGATCTTGACTTTTCCGTCCGAAGTCCCAACGTGAAAGTTGCTGAAGGGCAGCGTACACGGCGCGCTCGTGTTTCATCGGTCTTTTTTCCCCTTTCGGTTTGTTTGTACCTCCGTCGTCTCGGTTGTTCCAGTCTCGAGCCATTTGATCCACGTACAGTCACGGCTTAGCGCCGCGGAAGCGGCGAGTGATGCAGGCGGCGAATCTACGAGGAATCGTGCAGTCTCCGTTGGAAGCTCAAGTGGTGTTTATGTTGTTTGCCTACCGTTTATTGGACGAACCACGCGTCATCCTTCAGATTCAAAGTGATTGGTCTGTTCCGGCCAGAGAGAGAGCGTAGGAGGACCCCTGAATAAGACGCAGACGCCCGGAAAATTGCGGTTTTTGTTTGGACTTCAGCGCCTCACCGCGCGTCAATGATTTTTGTTTCTCTCAATTTGTACAAATGACCCATGCAGGTAGTTTGTAAAACTAAATTCTAAATTAAACTTTTGTAAACGTCATCGCCTGGAATCGCTCTCCAATAGACTTACTCCAAAACTAGAAGCACCTGATCGCGGCGTAATGCCACGTTATGCATTGTGGGACTCAGTGGGAAGCAAAATCCATACACGCTCCGCTTCTATTAGCGCCGAGATGTTTCGGTGGCGCCCTCTTATGGTTTCCATTCGTGACGTAATGACTAGGATTTGCCTCGTCGTGACGTCACCAGTTGTTATCCTAGCTACTTACCATCAGGTGCGACGACGAGTTCGGTGGTGTGTTTAAAAAGCACAGTGGAAGCTAGGAGCGATCTCAATCCGAAACTAACACCGTCAAAGTTCACAATCTGACAATGCTCATATGCCCATGGTCTGGCCAATCGTGGAAAGCTGACTTCAGCGACGCTTTTGGTCGTGCACATCGCTAATACCCACAGATTCCCGGAACGCAACGTGGGCGGAGGGATTACTGGAACCAGTCTATTCGTCCTCGTGCGCCACTTCATTGTCGAGCCACTGGAGGTACGCCAGCTGCCTGTGACAGGCTGCCATCGCCTCAGTATCCTACGAATCTTTACGGTTGTCATGAATATTATTTAGAATGGCAATGAATTTATGGTAAAAAGGTATATTACCATTTGTTGACATATGATCATTTGTTTATATATATATATACCTTTTTATCTAAAAAAATATATGAAAGTTTTTTATCAAGAATAGGCCTCCCGAATAGACCATTCGGGATATTCATTTTATTTTTTGTGAAAGCTAACCCCGAGACTAAATTAGGAATTACAGAAGTTTACTCGCTACGTCCGAAATGCGTTGAGATCAACCCTAAGCAAGCATTATGTGCCTGCGTCTGCTGCACGAATTTTGATTTTTGTTTTTGTGTTTTGACCTGTTGGCGCGTAGAACACATTACAAAGCAAGAGCTGATTTTTGTAACCTTCTGTTCAGAACCGACGCCAACTTGTTTGAGATGGGATGCACGAAAACTCGCAAGCTCACATTACAAATTGTGGAAAATTTTGAGAAGGATAAATTTACATTCTTATGTGGGGGAAAGGAGATATACTCGAAAAAAACAAAAGAAACCTAACCACATGTCTTCCTTGAAGAATTACAAAAAAAAGCACGATTCGCATGATTACGTTTTGGAGTCTCCAGAAAGATACAATTTGACTCGCCATAAGAGTACATCAGAAGCGCAATGACCTTTATTTCGATTTCGCCGAGAATTGGACAGTCTCACTACCGAATTAAATTCAAGAGTACCATGGGCACATACAACAGATTTTAAATTCCACACGCGTTGTATCAACGGCTAAGGGTCTCCAGAGATTCGGGGTCGTGTCTGAATACCTCTGTTATGACACAGCAGAGTCACTACTGGCGATCTGACGAGTTGGAGAACGGCAGGAGGATAAAACGCTCCTGTTTATACAAGCATTCCTTACGTTTCTGATGGAGGCGCATGCCACTTCAAAAACCGTTGCCAGCTCTTCAAACTCACACAAAGCGGCTCCGATAAGTCGAAATGGCGATTCTGGGCATCACCGGCCACGGCAACAACCCATTTTGCGGAACTCGTGGTTCACTCGAGCACCTCGCCGTTGCGAAGAATTTGCTTTCACAGGACGGGGTCATGATGAGATCGGGTTTATTACGGTTGATCGGACACCGTTTTATTAAACACGTATTAGAGAACGGGCTTGTTTTAGCGAAGCTGGCTTTATGGAAAGCGGAGCCTCAGTTCAGAGAAATGCCGTTTATCGAAAAAGGGACGTCTTAAAAAAAGGCTGCCCTACTTCGCGCATGCATCACTGAGGCGCGTGTTAACCCACCCGGCCACCCCCGGGAACACCGCTTCGTGGCGACAGTCTGCGGCGGCTCATTACGAAAATCCCAACGTACCTGACCGACCGATACGCGCCCCTTCGCGGCGGCCGAATTCGCTATAAGGATGCTCGTGGCCATTTCTCTAAACTGTGCATCTTTTGGAATTTATTCGATAAACTGGGGATCGGTAAAACGGCGTTCGTTAAAACGGGCTTCTCTAAACGGAATGATAAATGATCGTCAAAGTATTTCGTCAAAACAATTTCTTGCTTTCTTGCGCAGGTTTTTTGTGTTTCGCTTTTCATCAGAAGTGAGCAGTTGCTGATGGTCAGGTAGCTTTTACATTTAGGGGATTAAACTCGCGACCCTCATTTTCATACCCCAAAAAGGCAAACGTTTCAACGCTAGTAAAAAAAAAAGCGTAATAAACGGGGTGGAGGACAAACATCAGTATTACTTAAATCCTACGTTAAATCACGATTTATATCAGACCTGTTTCACTATGATGATTAAAATCAAAACTTTCCCGCAAGACTAACCCCGAAAATACTTTTATTCACTGTTTGTTTATCGAGACAGACTACGTTCTAGGCTGTATAAACAAACACACAACCCTTTTTTTATGCGCACGTTGTGAATTTGTTTGGCATTTAATCAAAGTATTGATCAAGCAAAAAATATTTATATAAGACTGAATGCGAGCAAAACAGAGGTGCCTTTTTTATCAAATCGGGGCGTTAAGCTTGATCTCTGCCTTCCATTTTTTCGTCAGCTGCTTACCGTCCGATCGCAACAAAATCGAAACACAAAAGAAAGAAAAAAAGAAAAAACTAGAAAAGTAATGTCCAATTGCACTGAGGTCACAACTCAAAACGAAAGTCAAATAAATATTTTAATTATAAATAAAAATAGGGCTGTTTTCTTTTCTAGTAGGGCGGTAAAGAGATGTTAATTAAACTGCACTTTACATTTACAGTAATTCTTTCCTCCGCATTGCTATCAGTGATCGGACCAATTGATCAATCAATCTTTTTCGTTGCAAAATATGGCTGACCTTAAAGGATCACTATTTTTAGCTACAGTAATTAAATAAAATGAATGCGACATTTCAAATAAAACCAATCTCAATAAAATAAAAACTTGACTTACTTCATTTAATTAAAGAATCATGATTTTTCAACCTTCGTAATAAATGAAAAATCGCAATCGAGCTGCCATCTTGAAAAATACGCATTGTGGCAAAAAGTAACTATTTTCTAGCGACAGTGAATAAATCAAAGTAAAATGCATAAAATAGAATTTATTAAAAAAAAAACCCTAATTTACTTAATTAAAAAATACTTTTTCAATCCTGGTAATAATGAAGAACTGCATACTATAATTTCGAAATGGCGTTGGGGCCTCAAAGCTATAATCCGAACTTTCAGACTACGCCTCGAACAACATTCCATTGGCTTGCTTTCAAGTAAGAAATATTTCAAGAGTAAATGAAATTAGGTATTGATCAGTATATATTTTACCTGAGCGCCACCCAAGCACATTAAATTATCCAAACCAATTATATTAAACGGTACACGACATCAGGCGTCAATCACATAAAAATGTGTCCAGTCACTATCACATATACCCGGAACCGGCGGTAATGTTTATGCAGAAAAATATAAAGCCTGATAGCACTGGTGCATATTTATTCGTACCGAGGTATAAAATTGATGTAATGTGACCCAAGAAAGAAAATAAATTGACATTAGAACCATGCACACGCTATATACTCGTGCATGGCACAGAATCATGCAGGAGCATATAGCAAGAAAATATTTTCCAATAGGCTCGGGATGTGCTCCCGTTATCGCGCTTCGTAGTATTTGGTTCACTGATCCTTTCTGATCTAAAATTTTAAAACCGGCTAGGTATTGTGATCGCTTTCGACGATGAGATTACATAATCAGTACTTAGCAGAAGACACCAGCAACTTGCCACGAAAATAATATTGTGTGTAAATGTATTGGCGTTTCTCGGAAAATATCAAAAGCAAAACACTTCTAATTACATCGTCAACTTCAAGCAATGTCGTGTGAAGCGAGAGGTATGACCAGAAGTAGTAACAAAAACGCCATTTATTATTCGTCCCCTTCCATAGTAAACTTAGATGAGTATGTACCAGAGTAACGCAACAAAATACTGCAGTCTTTGGTAATTTCTACCTAGCCGCGATAACAATAACGGTATGTTTCGTCTTTGCAACCACGCCCGCCTACTTCCTTTTTTAAACAGAGTGTTTGCTAAAACAGCGAAGACGGTTAACTGCTAATGTCACGGTGAGGTAAGTAAGCAAAGTAGAGTTCATGGGCAGCTAAGACGCTCACAGAAATGCCTAGATGCCAGAACTGGTGACTGGAGCCTAGAATGTCCGCGGCGCCTGGGTACTTCACCTCTGGTATCCTCGTGGAGAACACAATGAATGATAGAAAGAGCACTGCGAACACCGTCACGTGACCGGGTAACGTGGCCGCCACCAGCGCCGGATGGTTCAGGAAAGCGCTGTGCGTCATCGGTATCAAGCTGAAAAGCACCAGCACTCCAATGGATCTGATTCGAAGGGTGTCGAACTTCTCGGAACCGAATTTCTTCACCAGCGCCAAGTAAAATGGCACCAAGGCGATGCAAGTCTCGGCGAGGAGATACACGGCCATCCATAGGGGATGCGACCAAAACTGGAGCACGGTGAAGCCAGCGATGTAGGCGAAAACGCTAAAGCAGATGCCGAAGATGTCCCAGAGGTACCAGTACCTTGCCCCCGGAGCGGAGGTACAGCTGAAGAGATGATAGAGAGTCGAGAGCGCGAGCATGACGCCGTAGCAGACAGCAAGAAGGGAGGACAAGCACCTGTCCCAGAAGGGAATCTTGAGCTCCTGGAACCGGCTGTTGTGGTCCTCGAGTAGAAGAGCCGCCAGCAGACCGAGCGTCACCAGATTACTCCAGATGTTGACTGTCTCGTTGTTCCAGCTGAAGATTCCCCGGATGCACGCGCTGCTGGTTTCAAACTTTCGGTATCCCGTCAGAATGTATGGGTTGTGCCTCTGGAACTCCGGCACATCTCCAATACAGCCGAAGCAGTTGACCGCAGACGGTGACGGCCAGAATTCTGGGACGTTGAGGAAGATCCTCTTGGACAGGTTATTGAGGTCACGGCACAGGTTGGTCTTGAGCGACCGGGCGTGAGCGAAGAGAAGCTCCATCGCGGCGTGCTCCCGTGAGCCAAGTTGGTGAGGCGCTCACTGATGACAGCGGCGAGCAGGACCGCCGAGCTGTCTACCGATTCTACGTACGGGGGAGAACTTGTCCGGAGAGAGGATTGGGAGGCGGCTCCGGGGAGGAGAAGGGGACTGCTCGGGTCGCGTTGCAATCTAGCAGCAGTGCGCTCGAAACTTGCCTCCGGTCGGCCGGCAGGATAGGAACGGGAGGCGCCCGGATACGAGGCAACACTAGCCACTTTCCACACATCCGCTGGGGATGCCACGTGACCGGCTCTGCCGTTGCCCAACACGCGTACGGACTCGACTGTGTCGGAGAACTGGCCCAGCCGAATGTAAAATGTAGAACGCGCAGGATTCGGCGCCCCTGTTCGAATGGCCACGGCGCGCAAGGTCGTGTGTCGTCAGTGCATTCGAATGGTGTTCTTCGCGTGCGTGTTTCTTTTCTCCCTTTATTTGTTTGTTTCCTTCTCACTCTTTCTCTCACGGCGGCTCGACGTGTCTGCATTTTCCTCTTTTTCTTAGAACGCGTCAGCCTGACGGGGAAAAAAAAAGATGAAAAGAACGTGCGTGTATTCGTGTACTTTAATGTTTGTTTTTACGCGTAACCTCAAAGGCAGAAAAGAAAAGAAAAAACTTCTGAAAGTGCTGTAAGAGGCGTGCGACGACGGGAATTAAGAAAACAGATTATTCGGTGGACAAAACACAATTTCTAAGGCAAGGGTTTTTGTAATTGCGCCAAGTGACCTTTTGAAGTCCAGAACACGTCAAAAGGGTGGTTGAAGAAAACATGACGTGGTTCTACTATCCGCAGATTACATCTCTCTACCGAACTGTTCAGCCTACAAACGAACACCACATATGTTAGGTTGTTTGTGTGATTGTCCTCTCCCTCCCCCCTCCCCCTCCCTTGCTTCATAAACGATTTCGGTTTTGTAATCAGTCAGTAAAAAAATATCTGTAATTTCCTCCGATAAACGACTAAATAACGCCGGTAGGTTTTCCAAAAATGATTTTAAATCATGAAATGCTTTTTAACGCTACACCCAAAACCGATATTTTTTGGCCCATCCGTCCGTTCGTTTTTCTGCCCTTCATTTTCCACTAAATTTAGCGTGGAAAGTGGTGTAACGTGACGTCGCGTGACGTAACGTGACCTATGCACCTTGCGGAAACTGACGGGACGTAAAGTATACGTCAACTCGGCTTCCCCGCAAGATTGTGGCCAAAATATTATTTCAGTTTCTCCGCTAAATTTAGCGGGAATTCGACGGCACAGGAGCTATAAACTGATTCAGTTACCCGCTAAATTTAGCAGGGAAATTCACGTTTTGTGACGAAGACACTGATCCAGTTTCCCCGAAACATGTAGCGGGCGAAATCGGCGTCACTTGACCTATAAAACCGTTCGGTTTCGCCGGCGAATTTCGCAGGAAAATACATGTCACGTGACACACCAATTCGCATTTGATGCTTCATAGGGAGGATTTCGTGTTTTCTGCATTCACTTTTCATCAAATTCGCGGGTTATCGAAATTAATTTTTTAGTACTTCAAATTGACCGAAATTCGAAGTTATATATCACTGTTTTCATATTTTGAAAATTAAAAGAAAGTATTATTCTTACACAAATTACATGCATTAAATTCATAAAGAACTCGCCGGAATCTAATTGTGTCTGCAGTTGCATATGGCAGCGGGGTCCTTGCCATTGTCGATACTAACTGTCCTGCAACATATCTTGCAAAGAAGCGTTGCCTCAATTAACATCAATCCTCTGGAATAACTAAACACCCGAACGTGGTCCCTGGGAAGCTCCAGCCTGCCCTGTACCCTTCTATAAAATCTGCAAGTTCATAGCTTTCACTCCTATAAAAGCAGAACCCCTCCTCTCTTTGAATAGCACATATAGTAGGGCGGGGTGTCGATTGCAACTTTTAAATCGATTAATAACCACGCTTTAACCCAGTAACTAATTGATTAATGTCTCTAACTTATATGCATATGAAATAAAAAAAAAACTTGTTTACCTTATGTTTATTATACGACAAACGCCGCAATATGCAATTTTGATTTTGGATGAACCTCGATGTGCAGCTCAAAGCAGTTCAACGATACTCGCACTCACAGATCATTACATCAGATGCATGGGGCAAAAAGGTTCGTTAATATGTACTGGCGAGAACAACCTCCTCTGATTGTTCACAAAAGTCTCTGCTGTGCTCAACGGACACTCGAACGGCGATGAAGTGGCCGGACACCTGTAACCTTCTGAAGTTGTCTTGAGTTACAAATCTCGACCCTATAGTTTACTTTAGACTCAACTTTAACCTAAAGTTTTGCCCTTCGTACAGGTGCACTAGTCCATCTCTACGTGCGCGAAAGCGTAGCATTTTTACTTTCCTTTGGTTCGTCAACATATTACCGATTGACAGTTTAAAAACTTGGAGGATGCTTAAGCTTCATCTTTAGAGGGCGATTCACACGCTTGCGTTGAGTAGGACCGAGGGCGAGGGTTGCTATGGCAACGGCTGCCTCGGCTCCAACAAACCGGGGTAAAAACCGATTTTGTTGCAGCTGTTGCTATCGCAACCCTGGCACTCCGCCGGACTCAACGCAAGTGTGCGAATCGGCCTTAGTGGAACGCGACAGCGTTTCCGGGCACCTGTTCGTATTGCCTTCGCGTTCGCTTCTCATGCTGGGAGACGCGAGGGCGCTCCAAGATCCGGAGGCGTTATTGCATCTCCGGATCGTCCTGTCGCTGCTGTGGGAGTCACTTCGGCTTCCCCGGCACGCATATAATAAACATAAAAAGTCCCACTCCTCTCCGCACCGTGAAGGCGTGCCCTGCGTGTCCTACTCAGTAGCGGGTCTGGCTCGCAACCGGAGGGCCGTGGGTTCGAATTCCGCCTCAAATTCTTCAAATGTAAATGAATTACTTTATAAAATGAAACCATTTTAGACATGCGGAGGCCTTTATTCGCATTATATCTCATGTTTTAGTCACAATCATTCCACGCGTGACGTCACGTTTCACGTGAGTTGTTTGAAATTCCCGCGCGAGGTCATGTGGCCGTGACGTAATGACACTATCGACCAATCAGGATTTACTCGTTCGTCACGCCACCGATGCCGGCTTCTCTGCGACCCGATCGCCTTAAAGCTATCGCGTTAAAATTTTCATCGCGATTACAGCATTATTAGATTATTAGGTAGGTTAATCGATAAATTGCGCAGAACTAACAAATAGTACGCTCCTTACAGGAAACCGGAACAAAGGCTTTGGTCGTGATCCAAAAATACAACGACCGGTTGTTCTAAACGAATCTCGGCAAAAAAAAAAAAAAAAAAAACGCTCTCTTTTGCCAATAGTATAAGATATCAAATGAAACTCAAGTGGTCTGCGTTCACCTGTACATTTAAACGCGGCGTTGGCATCGATCGCATTCGCAACCGCAAGATTTTCACCCGGATATGTAGATCTGGCTCTGGTGTCTTCATTACGGAATAAAATATGTTATGTAGAGACATATACAAGTTACACTAAAAAGTAACTAAATATTGTGACGCGTTAGTTGCTCAATATGTAACTAAATGCGTTACTCGTTACCGAGTTTCTGAAGGAGCGCTCTACTTTTACCTCAAACGTAGCAAATTACCTCTTTGGTTACTTTGACGACCAAATACACAACTGGTTTTGTTTCATTGTTTTTTGTTTTGTTTTCATTAGTTGTTGCTCTTAAGCAGCAGCTACCCCTCGAAGTTTTCTTCAGTTATGTTTAACCGATTCCTTGAAAAACACCTCAGGCGATATTGAAGAGTGGTTCTACGGACGCTCTAAGGGACGGCATTCTTGTGATTCAGTAAAAGCGGGTAAATTTGAGATTCCCTTCTCTTTTGTTCTCTATGCTTCTAAAGTTCGAAGTTGACAATGAGTTTTGTGCCTTCATGTGTTGGCAGCCTCCGGGTTTACAATCGGTCTCTACACTATTCTAGAAGGTTCAGCCAACGAACCTTATTGTGTTCGCTGGGGGGAGGACATACCCAGCTGTAAAGTTCGACTGCCGTGGTAAACACAAAACGTTTCTATACTTTCATATTGTTTTGTTGTAAATCTGGGTCATACCGCCATTTTTCGAAACTTGGACTCGACCGTAGCATTCTACAAATACCACCCGCGTTCCTCTGTAAAAGTTCTTCCAGACGAAGGCCGGACTCCGGCCGAAACGTCAAAAAATAAACCGGCCGTTATTGCTGCTTTAATTAAGTGTATTCTTTTCTTTTCAGTTATACGCTCGTCTTCGGCCCCCCTTGCCACCATGCCCGTGGTGTATATATTATATTATATATATATATATATATATATATATATATATATATATAAAGAGTGACGAATGTTGACAAATGCTTCCGTTGATATATGGGCAAAAGTGATGTGCACAGACACAGCAGCCGTAGGATGAAAAGAATAAAATTCTAGTTTAATGGCGAAAAAAGTCACGCAAGAAAAAAGGGTGAAGTGCCGAAAAAAAGTTGTATTAGTTTACGGGAATAATGCAGACTAGGCACAAGAGCGCTAATTACGCGGGAAAGAAACTTTTAAACAGGACGGAGTAAAAGTCAAAGTTAACACACAAGAACTTACAAAAAATAAATTGTTAAATGAAAAATAAAATAAAGAATTGAAAATAAAAAATGTATAAAAAATAAGAAAAGGGCCTGACGTCCGTCGACGTTTCGGCAGTGGCACTGCCTTCTTCAGGACAATTCTTTATTTTATTTTTCATTTAACAATTTATTTTTTGTAAGTTCTTGTGTGTTAACTTTGACTTTTACTCCGTCCTGTTTAAAAGTTTCTTTCCCGCGTAATTAGCGCTCTTGTGCCTAGTCTGCATTATTCCCGTAAACTAATACAACTTTTTTTCGGCACTTCACCCTTTTTTCTTGCGTGACTTTTTTCGCCATTAAATTAGAATTTTATTCTTTTCATCCTACGGCTGCTGTGTCTGTGCACATCACTTTTGCCCATATATATATATATATATATATATATATATATATATATTATATGTCGTACAATTTTGACCACCAGACATGTGACCGTACCGAATCCTAAGGCTTTCACGCAACACTGAGCTGAGATTTGCATTGCGATCGTTGTACTAAACATGGTAAGCTATTTCTTTGATACTGTTAGCCCCAGAGATCAGTGTCTAGCTCAGATAAAAACCTAAAATACAGCCCCGCGGTTCACGGCATCTAGCGGAGGCATTGCGAAGCTGCCCAAGTTTTTGTCGTAAAAGCACAATTTGGACTTAAAACAAACGAAACATAGCTTATCCCATTCAATATAACTTAACTTGTCTGTGCC